CCCCCCCCAGCCATGGTGAGCGAGGGGGGAGATGGGGACGGGGAGGTGGGAGGGAGGGTGATGGTGGGAGAGCATTTCCTGCCCGCGGCCCCGGAGCTGAAGGCATTTTGGCACGGGAAAGAGGAGATGGGGCCAAGGGCTGAGCTCAGGCTCTGTGGGAGGGGGTCTGGGCGCAGGATGAGGGAGGGCAGAGGGTCCCCAGAAGGGTTGGGGGGACCAGAGGGTGAAATCTGCCCCATCAACAGCCCCCCAGTCCCTTCTCTCCCCTCCTTTCCCCCCCAGTGCCCATCACCAGCCTCAGGGCTGCAGCCAGGGCTGCAGCTCAGCCTCCATCATCCCCCCCAGCACCAGGGCAGGGGGGTGCAGAGGAGCCAAGAGCCCAGAACCTGCGGCTGAGGGCGGAAACAACTCAGCTCCTCTCCCTTTAACCAAAAAGGGGTGAATTGAGCCCCGGGCAGGGCAGGATGGGGCTGGGAGGCCCCAGGGCGCTGAGGTTGCGCAGGGAAGGGCGGATGCCTCCCAGTGCTGCCCCTACCCCAGACTGGGGCCATGGGGAGGAGGAAAAACCCCCCAGACCTCTCATTTTGCCCCGTCCATCCACACTGGGGAAGCCCATGGGCCACCCCCATCCTGTTTGGAGCCAACTCAGCTCGCATTTTTCCCTCATGACAGTTTCTCCTGCGTCCAGACAGGGCAGGGGGAGGGGAAAGGGGGAAGCAGGCTTATCTGTCCCAAAAAAACAGCCCCAGCCAAACCAGCGTGGTAAAAACGAGCACGCATCAAGCACGCACGTAGCTGTGGTTGCAGCGCAAGCTCTTCCCCATCCAGGACGCTCCTCTGATGGGAGCTGACATCTCCCCAGGGCATTTTCCATGAACCACTCCCCAATCCTCTGGGTCCTTCTGGGTGCCAAGGCACTGGGGGAAATAAATAGAGAAGAAAAAATGCGGCCGGGCAGGTTGGGCATAGGAGAGCCCTCGAGGAAAGCGATGGCAGGAGGTCCCTCTCAGCTCAGCCTTCTTCCAAAATTCTATCGGGTCGGGTCGCTGTCTGAGCTTGCTCTCGCCTCTGCAGCCCACGGAGACCGAACGCTGCATCGAGTCGCTGCTGGCCGTCTTCCAGCGGTACGCAGGGCGTGAGGGCGACCACCTCACGCTCTCCAAGAGGGAGTTCCTGGCCTTCATGAACACGGAGCTGGCTGCCTTCACAAAGGTGAGCAAAATCCAGGCGGGAGGAGCACCCCTCGGCATGCACATCCACCCACGGCCCAGCAATTAAAGCCTTCACCCCATAAATGCTGTGGGGTGGGCAATGGGAAGGGCTCGCTGCCTCCAGAAGCCAGAGCGTGGCCTGAGAAGAGTTGGCCTGATCAAATTCTGCCTCTCTGTGCCAATGCCCTTGGTGACGAACAGCAAATACCTGGGATGGGGGGTTCAGCCTTGGCAGACGTCGATCCCCACCTCTTTTGCAGAACCAGAAGGACCCGGGTGTCTTGGACCGCATGATGAAGAAGCTGGATTTGAACAGCGACGGCAAGTTGGACTTCCAGGAGTTCCTGAACCTCATCGGGGGCATCGCGGTGGCCTGCCACGACACCCTGGTTGTCGGGGCACCTTGAGCCCAGCCCTGGCTGCAGCATCTCCACCGCCCTTACTGTGAACATTCCTCGAACCAGACGGATGCGAAGCTGGAAGCAGCGCCCTCGAGATGGGGGCATCCCCAGTCCTCAGTTTTACATATGAAATAAACGGTTTAAACTCCTAGCGTAAGGCATGGATTTATTTCAGCAGCACGAGGACAAAGCGTTAGGCAACCAGGCCGGGTACAGAGGGAGCAGGGACCTTTAGGTCCCTTTGCTTCTCCGTGGATATGAGAACGTGGGTGTCACTGCCAGAAACGATGATTTACCTGGCTCTGGAGATTCTCCAGCCCGTTAAGTACCACGGCACAGCAATACTAAAGGGTACAAGTACCTAAGGTAAATGCAAAGACAGGAGCACTACCAATAAGGATAATTAGAGCACTGGCAATGGTAATTACACACTGATAATTAGCAGAAACAGCCCCTGCTGGCGTGATAAATTATTTCAGGATTACAGCCTTCATTTTCTGGACTTGAAAACCCTCTGAAGCCTTAAGGGTGCAAAGAGGGAAGGGAGATGAAAAAGGGAAACGAAGTCTGATCTCTTCTACCTCAGTCAAACCAACCGAGCTCCAGAACAGGAAGATGAAGCTGAACAATTCACTTTACTCATGAGACAAGCCCATTATTCTGAGAAATGTTGCTAGGACAACAAAACAAAAAGTCAACACTAAGGCTCGGGTGCTGAGCTGCTCTCCTGCTGCTTCCGAGGGGAGCTGAGCTGCCCCTGCACAGGGCCAGGCTCCGGTTCCAGACAGCGCCGTGCTCCTGCGAGAGCCACACTCAGCTTTTCCCTCTGCCCAGAGGCTGCAGTGGGGTCCCAGAGCTCTTCTCTCAGCAGCCCCACGCTGAAGGAAGCAAGAGGTGGTTGCTGCCTCTCACGGTTTCCACAGAGCGTGCTGTGTGGTAATCGGGGCTCAGCAAGAGCCAAGCTTTACCCTCGGGGGAAGATTTGCCTTGTGCATAGAAACATCGGCTGGGCCTGGAAACAGAAGCGCACGTTGCTACTCCTGGGAAGCAGCAGAGTCTCAGTGCAGCGTTGCTGGGTGGGGAAGAGCAGGGAAGACACAGCAGGGCTATGGTGAAGAGAACAGATTAGAAGCTGGAACGGTGGGAGGCGAAAGTTTCCCCGCTAGGCGGTGAAACGGGACGGTTCCCTCCCATCTCATGCCTCCCCAGGACAGGCGTGCGCTAGCGGAACTGGAGCGGGCTGATCCGCAGCCCGATGACATCTTTGCCGATCTCCGTCACCTGAGGAACAAAAAGGAGGTGATTAATGCTGAAAAGCAACTCAACGGCCCAACCCCGTAGGTGGTGTTGAGAGCCTAGACTGCTCCTGGGAACACCCGCTGTCAATCACTGCAAAGTCAGTACATTTAAAATACTCGGTATTTCCCAACATTTGCAGAAGAGAAGACTGAGGGGAGACCTCATTCATGGTTAGAAATACATAAAGGGTGAGTGTCACGAGGATGGAGCCAGGCTCTTCTCGGTGACAAACAATGATAGGACAAGGGGTAACGGACACAAACTGGAACACAGGAGGTTCCACTTCAATTGGAGAAGAAACTTCTTCTCAGTGAGGGTGACAGAGCATGGCCCAGGCTGCCCAGAGAGGTTGTGGAGTCTCCTTCTCTGCAGACATTCAAAACCCGCCTGGACGCCTTCCTGTGTAACCTCATCTGGGTGTTCCTGCTCCGGCAGGGGGATTGGACTGGATGAGCTTTGGAGGTCCCTTCCAATCCCTCACGGTCTGGGATTCTGTGATTCCCAACTCCCAAAATGCCCCAACCTCAACCCAAGTCCTTCAACGTTCAACTTTGACCCCCAGCCCATGCCAAGTCAGTTTAGGGGGGAGCTGCAGGAGAGGATTCTCAAGGGAAACATCACAGGTTGGAGACGTTGAGGTTCCCTTACTGTAGTGACGCGGCAGATCTGCCCGTGAAACTCGGGGCAGTAGCAGGCTCCGCTCAGAGGACACTTCTCCACAGGTTTGCCGCGGTAAATGGGTCGGTAGGAGGCGGCACAGATGTCGAAGGGGTTGTGCATGTCGTAGTTGAGCTGGTAGGTGTCGGTGGGGTTCTTCTCGCACGCCGACAAGATCTTGCGAGTCTGCAAAAAGCAACCATGTTGACCGGGAAGCCGTGCAAACAGGGTCTGCCACAGCAGATATTTCTGCCCCTGCAGCTCACAGATGTACCTGCTGAGCCACCTCGGGCTTTGGACCCAGCTCCAGCAGCCGACGGGCAAAAGTAGCAGCTGTCTTGAAGTTTTTGAGCTTGAAGAAGAGGTTGAGAGCTGTACGCAGCACCAAGATCATGTGGACGGGCTGCAGGTTGGAGTGGGTGAAATAGGCAGCCATCTGCATGAGGGAGAAGGAAAGTAGGGGTAAAATCACTACCAACCATGTGAACAAACGGAATAAAACCCACCCAGGGAATTACTGCCACTTCTGCTTTAAAGAACATGGCAGAAATCAGGATTCCCGGTGCCTTTTTAAACCCAAAGGCTACTTCCCCCTCAACCCCCATCACAGTGAGGGCATTCACAGGGTTTCTGTACCTCGCAGATTCGCTTCTGCTGCTCCAGGGTCTCTTTGGGCAGCTTCTTCCGCTCGATCTCCATCGAGAGCCCCACAATGTACTCCCGGCAAATAGCAATGAGCTGCTGGGCCTTTCGGAGAGGGACACAGGGTGAGGATTTCACCCTCCTGCCCCACGGGCACGCAGACAACGGACAGAGGAGCCTCTCACCTCCGCAATCTCCTGCTTGTTGTCCACCACCAGCAAGGGCACGCTGAGCAAGATGGAGCGGAACTTCTCCACGGCCTCCTCGAACTTGCCCGCTGTAGTGAGCTGGTAGCACAGCTGCAGGCGCTGGATGAGGTCGTTGAGCTTCAACCCAACAGCAGGGAGGGCGTTCTTCAAGCCAGCTTCTTTCCTGGGGGCACCAAAGAGGGGTTGGGGGTACAAACAGCACCAACAATTAGCTCGACCGCTAATTGTCAGAGATGTTTTCACCCAGGGCCACGCTGTTTTTCTTGGCCATTAGCTTAGCACAAGAGACATCTGCACTTCCCTAATTCTGCCACCCACAACACTCAGCTCTCTCTGCATTAGCACAGGCTGGGAAGCCTGGCACATTTTTCTGCAGTGGCTTCCAGCCACCAGTGTAAAAACAGACCCGTGGTTCTCTAAATGGCTCAGAGCAGCTTTGTCAGAGGCAGAGCGTTAGCGCTAGAAAACACCACATCCCAACTGCCTCACCCTGCTTTCAGTCTCTAAAAGAAAGATGAAAGCAGTACTTTAACATCTCCTCATCTAATAGCAGGCAGCAGAAAAACCCCACTAAAGACAGAATGCTCCCTGTTGACATCCAGCAAACAGGAAGGCTCCTTCTTTCATAGCAGAGGGAGGAGACATCACTGCCAAGGAGGTAAACGGCACAGGGAGAAGAGCACAGGAAAGGAGCTGGCCCAGTTGCTTACCAGTTGCGATGCGGGTACCCGTACATGGTGGGGAGACACGGCAGGGCCTGGTAGGTCGTACGGCCACGGGCATAGGTCTGCAGGAACAGCTGCTTGTAGGGCCCGAAGTTTGTTACTCCCACCTGGTCATGGAGGAGCTGAAAAAGACACATTGATCTGCTGAGTAAGAGTTATCCAGGGCTGTGCAAAGGCTGCACAGGCACCACTCGGGCTCACAGCGCCGCTTATTTTACGCCCAGAGAAAACAAGGCGCAAAATGATTCACGAAAAGGGCAGAGAGCAAAGCTGCAGACTGGATTAGAGACGAAAACCACGTTGTTCTCCCTAGGAACTCCAGGTCAACTTACTCTCATTGCTGTCTCAAAGGAGCCTCCCAGAATGTGGTCAACAGGAAGCTGAGAATTGTTACACCACACCTACGAGAAGGGAAGGGAAATGTACACATGAGGAACTGTATTTATGCCCACATTTGTCTTCCCTGCCCTCACCAACCCCTAACTCCCCTTAACAAGTTCCTACTTGTGTATGATGAGTGTTCACAAAAAGGACTGAACCACCCCAAAAAAGAGGTGCCAAAGCAGAAAGTTTCAGAGAAAGACAACGAGATCTGTGCCATTACCTGAGCTGGGCTGGTGCCCTTGGTGGGTGGCACAAAGAACCCATCCTCTGCTGCTCCTGCTGGGCCGGCAGGAACGTCCTGGGGGAACACACAGAGCAGAGATCAGCACCCAGATGTATCAGAGCTGGTCACAGCTGTGGGGACCAAGTCCCTGAAGAAGCCCAGAACACATTTCCACCACCATCACCACCATAAGCTGTCATTCCCTGCCCAAGGAACTACAACTGTGCTGCTTCAGAAGCCTTCCCAAAGCCTCCTACCAGTTCGGGTGGAAGATCCAAATCTTCTTCAACTTCCCATCCACCTCCTTCTTCCTGTCCTTTACCCACACCTTCCTCCCCAAAGCCTTCTCCGGCATCCACAAAGCCATCTGCACAGAGGGGACAGGGAGGAAACAGTCAGAGCTCTTTACACAGACACACACTTGAACTTCTGCAAGAAAAACTCTTGGGTTCATGCACCTTCATCCAGCTGCAGCTCTGCATCTTCTCCCCAGCCTTCAGTGCCAACGGTGTCGATATCAATATCAGCAGCCAAGGCACCTCCTTTGCCTGCAAAAAGGGTAGAGATGAGTAAATGAAGGTTCCCGAGTAGGTCAGGTGTTGAGCAAAGAATTTAGGTTAGGTCAGCACCCTCCCCTCCAACTGTCAAGCCCCATCTTGCCCTGAAAGACCAAAGATTTGAGAGATTTGCCAAAGATTGTGCAAACGCCAACCTGGATCCCAACCTCTGCAAGTAACACACAATAAATGAGGTTAACAGCCACGGTTCAGGAGCTGCGGAGACAAATAGCTCCATTCTGCATATCCCAGCTCAACGCAACTTTCCAAGGACAAAGCGATACCTTTGGTAGCGATCGTTCCTTCGAAG